AATTCGCCTTTACATACAGAAAAGCAAACACATTTATAAAGATCTGAAAACTACATGGTAAATGGTAACATAAAAACCATTTTTGGTATGTTTGTAATAACAAAATCGTTGCAACAGCACTTTTAGCGTCTCTGACAGCCGTCCTCTGTTTCAGCTAAAATACAGTCTAAATATCTTTTGCTCACAACCAGAAACTAATCACGTGATGAATAGGCTTGCCACTTCCATCTCATAACATAAAATATAGGGGTAACCACGCGTTTTTTTAAAGTTACTGATCCTTTTGTAAACTTTTTAAGGTGCCTGTTACATTTTTTCCTGTCACCTCCTCAGTAAGTAAAACATTTGCGTATCGTCTCTCACTTGTTTTGCGCGCGCACTACGCCATCTGCAGGTACATGTTTACAGTTGGATTTCAGTATAATTTTCGACAGATAACACCTAGTTTTTCAGCTGGAAGACGTTAACAGTTAGTGGTTAGCGATATGCTGCTGTTCTGGTGTTCCTGGTTTAAGTACAGGTTCATTAAACTTGATTTGGTCACAGTAGGAAAACTTTGCTTTCAATTTAGTTGCGTACTTGGTAGCGTAGTTGATTGCGTCATGTCAACCCAGCGCGCGCGTGGCGCTTAAACCATGGCTTGCGTGATGCGCAGAACGTGTGCGCACTAACAAAAGTAGGCACCGTCCTTAAATTCGTCAGATTCCTTTGGTTTCATCGGCCTCATTCTCGTCCTCAGAGCCTCCGTTTCTTTTGGTCACGTGGTCGGAGAAACGACATCAATGACATTTTAAGACGAGTAGCACTGGGGACGTGAATGCATCGGCCTCGGTCAGGGCCTCGGTAGACCTTTGCATTACTGCGATTACTGAAGTGATGTAAAAATACGGCCATGTGACCACGCCGTGTCAATATGGCGGACGAAGAAAACATGGATAGCGTGGAAGAAAGAGCACCGTCTAGTGTTAACCAGTCTTCTTTACTATCTACGGAAGCACTGAACGTCAGACCAGAAGTTTCGTTGCCTATTCCTGGATTTCCACCTTTGTTTCAGTTTGCAAAGCTACAAACAGAAGCCAGCTCTTGGGGTTCAAATGCAGCGGCTACTTCAGACAAAGCAGCGACGTCCGAAGTTAACACAGGGGTTAGCAACGAACAGTCAGACCTTTCAGAATCAAATGATAAATCAAGACCTGTGAATGGATTGGATGTAGTGGTCAATATGGAAGACAAACCTGAAAATGAACCTGAGCAGCCGGAAGATGGCGAAGATGAAGACAATGAGGCTACAGAGCTGGACAAAGATGAAGATGGCGTAATAAACGACGAACCAGACGAAGAAGAGGCAGAATCCGATCCTTATTTCTATACCAAACGAGATGAATTTACTTCCGAGATCTACAAAATTGAACTTCAAAATTTGCCAAAGAAATGTGGTTACAAGGTAAGCTACATTCTAAATTTAGCTCAGTTAACTTGTTGCTTTTCCAAAAGTCAAATTAAAACAATGAGCTGCATGATGTGGGGGGTTCATTGGCCAAATTATAAGGGTTGAAGCCAGCTGTCATTTGTATAAATTGCCCCCTGATAATGAAAATTATACTGACCACCTGATAATGAGGTTTAATTGAATATACCAAGTGTCTGGATGTCCAGGAGCCAGTAAAATAAACCAAGTGATTGGTAGTCAGAAGTTGCCAGCCTCCTGATAGCTACTTTTACCCAGAAAATGCATGTTGGTTAGCCTGAGTAATGCTCAGATTAGCCTGACTGAAAAGAGCTGTTCTATTTAAGCATACAGTTAAAGTGCCACTAACCCCCCAAATTTTTTTCACTAATATAAATTTCCTTTTTCTCCTGATCACCACTGCAAAAAAATTATCTTTGTAGCTATTTTCGTTAATTTTCTATGAATTTTTAAAGTTTGTAAATTTGCCCTTTTCCATGTTCACAACCGAGGAATAGTGGAGAATGGGACGAGTTGGCTTCTGACGTCACCTTGGGGATAACAATATATTGTTTCTGAGAAGAATGTATGCGAACATGCGATAGTGTGTGTCAAAATCGTTGCAGAATGCAAGAAAGATATGTTGTTGGAGACTGTAGCAATACAGGATGCGTAGAATTGGAAGATCATTTGCGCTCGAAGTACTCCTCATCATTCAATACCTCTATCTCGATGAAACTCTACCAGAAATGAGAAAAAGACCAAAGAAGCGGGCTGATCTGAGCGAAGCTAAAGCCGGCCGTGGGGAGCCATTCAGGATTTCTTCGATCTCGGGTTCGCCGCTACTGCAAAAACCTAGAGATTTTCATTGCCTGTATATTCTTCTCTATCTCTAGAGGAAAGCTTTAAATTGCCAAGGTACTGTATAAGACAAATTTAGGATAAGCTGGAAGCCATCTGACTATTTCGAGCGCAAATGATCCTCCGAGTCCCAGACGAAATTATAGGTCAGGAAATTACACGGTAAATTAAACGCATTGCGTTTTTTGTACTCGAAGTAGAGACTTGTCTAAACAAATAATAAACGAAACCTATGTTCTACAACGATGCAAAGAAGATTGTTGAGGCTTCAAACTGGTGAACTAGCTATGTATTTGTGGATTTTAATAAAAAAGACACGTACGCTGGAGGTCGCCTGTAATCTGGCCCTGTTTTTCAATGGTCATTCTGAATACAGAATTGTTTTGTTCTTTGAGCTTTGTCTTTGAGGAACGAAATAGATCTAAATTACAAACTTGGAGTGGATCAAGCATTTATAAATATACGAGGAAAGTGAAACAAACAATTAAGATTCAACTCTGTAGCTACCGACGGAGATTGTCGTGCTGAAAGAAGAATATGCTTGTCAGTCAACCGAAACGCAAACTAATAAGTTGAGGACTCCCAGGTTATTAGCGTGCGTAAAATGGACATTCCATTCAAAATAACAGTGAAGTAGAAATGTATTCATCTAAGTGATAGTATACTGAACGTCTTTTGGAGACCTTGTTGAAGGATTTTCCATGATTTCACTAGTATGAAATATGCAAATTTGCGCAGCTTGTGTTCGTACCCAGTAATTGACTATGCATATACTACGGTTGGTCGACAATAAGGAAGCAAAAAGTTACCTCACCTTCAAATATTGCTTATCTGTTATGTTAAAACTATTTTCAATCATTGATCTGGAGAAGTAGGCAGGAGTGGAGTACAACTGCATCGCATTTTAACTTGTATTTCGGGGGAAATTAATGTTTGAATATAAAAATGTCTTGACACTCCAAAATTTGCACGTTCCGTAAAGTCAAATTACCAACTCTTCGTGTTCATTGATGTTGTGTCTCGCGTAATTGAATGAATCAAGCTGGTACAACACAACAAGGTTTAATCAAACATGGCAGTTCATATTCAACAACAGGCGCACATGGCATGCGTGCGCATAATAGTAACAAAACCGCAGACCATCATGTGCGACATAGCATTCCTCCCCCCCTTAAATCACAATCTATTAATAACGCACAAGTTCAGTTCAGTTACAAGTTCAGTCTCTCTGGTGGCTTCCATAGCCGAAGGGGATAACGTCTGCATGGTGGTGTTGCCGGACTGCTTACCATGGTCTCGCTTTGGCTGCTGGGAGGGTTGTCAGGGGTGTCGTCCACATGTGTATCTTTGGTCAATGGTTCCTCCATGCCACTTATAATGGGAGCCTGTAATTCTTCATTCTCCACACTACTTGCTGATTGTGGTGTTGCTGCCAACACTGCTGGGTTTAGTTGCGGTGTGTACTGTTCCTTGCTAAAGTTTGGAGTCACTGCAGACTCTCTGAGTTGATCAACATGCCGTCGCCATACTGTATTGGGTGTGACCTTGACTTCATAGGACAAGGGTCCCAAGTGAGCTGTGATGATCCCCGGAACCCACTTGTTTCCAGCTCTGTAGTTTCGGGCAACGACAGCTTGGCCTAACTCTAGCTTTCTGGCAGGGCTGTGACTTGACCGTAACTCTTGATCTTGCTGTTTGTCTTCCACTCGGTTCCGTAAGTTAGGCTTCAGTATATCAAACCTTGTCCTGATGTTTCTCCCCATGAGGAGCACGGCTGGTGTCTCTCCAGTCAAGGCATGTGGGGTTGATCTGTAGGCCAGCAAAAAGTTTGCCAGCTTCCAAGAGATAGATTTCTTTTCCGTCAGCGCTGCGCGGAGAGCTTGCTTGAATGTCTGTACAAAATGTTCAGCCATTCCATTTGTGGCTGGGTGGTACGGAGCTGACTTAATGTGCTTAACACCATTACTTCTCATGAATTCTCCGAATTCATCTGCTATGAATTGAGGTCCATTATCTCTTACAAGCTGTTCTGGCAAGCCGTGTGTGGCAGAGCTTTCTTAGTTGCTCAATTGTTCTGCTGGCAGTTGTAGTAGTCATCGGTATCACTTCGGGCCATTTAGAATGTGCATCTACAACAATCAGAAACATAGTTCCTAAGAATGGGCCAGTAAAGTCAATGTGGATGCATTGCCATGGTTGTGATGGCCACTCCCATGAGTGAAGTGGAGCGGTCTTAGGGTTGTTCTGGGTAAGTTGACAGCCAGTGCATCCTTTTGCTACTTCTTCAATCGCTTTGGCCATCCCTGGCCACCACATGTAGCTCCTGGCCAAGGCCTTCATCTTAACAATTCCAAGGTGGCCTTCATGGAGCTCAGCTAACAGTTGTGCCTGGTGCTTGGGTGGGATTATTACTCGTGAGCCCCACATAAGGCAGCCATCCTGTATGGTGAGCTCATCTTTCCTTCTCTGAAATGGCTCCAGCTCCTTCTCACTAACGGTTGGCCACCCTTGTTTTGTGTTTTCCATCACACGTGACAAAACCGGATCTCTCTGAGTTGTTTGACGGATCATATCTGCATTGACTGGCAGCACTTCTATCAGGGATACTTGAAAAATCTCCACTGGGTCAACTACTTCCTTGTCACAGGCTTTCTTTAGAGGTAGGCGTGACAATCCATCTGCGTTTCCATGTTGGGTTGTGTTCTTGTACTCAATACTGTACTCAAACCCTGCTAGAAACAACGCATAACGTTGCAAGCAAGCAACTGTCATTGCTGGTATTCCTTTCTTGGGATTAAAAATTGAGGTCAGGGGCTCATGATCTGTCACGAGTGTAAAATGACGACCAAACAGGTAAAGGTGGAATTTCTTGACTCACCAAACCAAGGCTAGGGCTTCTTTATCAATTTGGGAGTAGTTCCTTTCTGCTTTGGTTAGGGTACGTGATGCGAAGGCTATATGTCGCTCTGAGCCATCCTCCATGATGTGCGGTAAAACTGCTCCAATTCTGACTGGTGAGGCGTCACAGGCTAGTCTCAATGGCTGTTCAGGATCATAATGGGTGAGCACCATATCTGATGTGATCAGCTTCTTTACTGAGTGGAAGGCCTCCTCGCACTCTGTGGTCCACTTCCATCGTTTTCCTTGCTCCAAGAGTCCATTAAGGGGATTGAGTGTGGTGGCAAGGTTTGGCAAGAACTTGTGGTAGTAGTTAACCAGGCCTAAGAATGAACGGAGTTGCTGGACATTCTCTGGTCTTGGCGCATTAACAACTGCATGAACTTTCTCTTGAGTCTTGTGTAATCCGTGCCAATCTACTTCGGCATGGCATGTGTGCGCATAATAGTAACAAAAGCGCAGACCATCATGTGCGACATAGCAATTGACATCTTTATAACTCTTTAAGAGCTGTAAGCTAACTCTTCAGTCATTATTTGTACCTTTATAACCCAAATGGACTGAGAAATTGTCGATCCTGGCCTAAATTTAATTAAACAACGCATCGATCTCGACTGGCGACCTGCACTTTGAAATGGAAAAAAATATGTACATCGCAGCTGTTCGAATTGTAGCTAGACTCCGAATTGTAATGCTAGATGATACAGTTCTTTCACTTAAAGTTCTTCTCCAGTTTTGATAAAATATGAATCACAAATAACCTGAAAATGTTTTGACTGCCCTCGGGCCATGCGCATGGTGTTAGTGTACAGAGCCGTTACAAAACATGTAACGCTAAAAAACACGGAGTATAAAATTGAAAGACAGCTATAACAATCTGACGACATCAAATGAAAGTAAATTATATGTGCATTTATCTCCTAATGAGAAAATCCAAGAATATCTACTTACTTTCACTTGAAAACAAAATGGAAAGACCATACAGGAAATTTACGATTAAAAACAGGAGTGAACGAGTTTGAAATTTTTGACATCCTTTCCGTTGTCGTTAAAATTTTGAGACAAAAGTCTTGAAAATCGAGGTGCACATGAGTTGCAGATTCAAGTCAAATAGGTATTTTTCACAGAAAGTCAACACAATCAAAGATAAAAGTGATTTTCTAGCTTTACACTCATATTTTTGAACCAAAGTTTTGGTTCGAATTTCAACGTTAAACATAAGCGTTTTGTCCAGCTTGTGAAAACATTTGCATCGTTTGTTTGGTTCGTTTTGTTTCTATTGTTTGCAATGTTTCTATCGTGTGTTTCGTTTTTATCGTACGTTTGTATCGTTTCTATCATTCGTTTGATTTCTAGTTTGAGTACCGTTTAGAACCTGGGTTTTGAACTATCTTTGGTTGTTCTTGCGTCTGTTACTTGGTGACTTGCCACTGGCACATGAATCTCGACTTCAGCTTCAATTGATGCACAGTTCAGGCATAGGCAGGCACAGGTTAGGCACAATGAATGCAAATTTTACATAGTTTATAAATCTTCCAAGGTGCAGATCATTTAAAATGTTCATCAACGTATTTCAACGGGGCTCAAAATTAACTTTTTCGTTCGGGGACCAGCTGGTGGTTAACGGAAAAATTTTGGTTGCCAGCTTATTTTATATAATAATATTATAACTTACACAAGAACACGATTTTATATGTTACTTTGCATGCAAGAAAAGTCACAATTGAAGAGCGAAAACAATTAAAAACAACACGAGTAACACTTAGTTATAAAGCTACTGTTGTTCTKWGGTGATATGTCTCTGGTCCYAAGGTGATGGTTGTCTCCATAGTCATTTTAAARGAAGCGAAGCATAAAACYTTTTAAGTCCGTGGTTTTCATTGTCAGACAAACACGGGTCCTTGCGTATTTTCCCTTTGCCACTTCTTCGAAATGCCGTTCTTTATTTTCGACTTGCTTTCCTCACTGCCTTTCACTGCCAACAAACAACGCCATGCTTGAATCTTCATTCCCCGCACGCAAAAACTCACTTTATTTCTTCAACTGATTGGTATCTGCCACCAGTTTCGCGGCAAATGAAAAGCACATGGTGTTGAAGTGCACCTGCGATCCCAGTTTCAGAAGAAGCTGCTGAAACAATATGGCACGCCATGAACGCAGTATCAACGTGTCGAAATACATTCAATTTTTTCGATTATCTTGTAATATTCAGACATTATTTTACTGGGGACTGAAAGGTGAGTTGTATACTAGCTACCATATCCAATTGATTTCCTAATAATTTTTTATAAAGATTTAAAAACAAAAGTTGTGTCATGGTTTTCTTTAGTTATCGGACAAAATGTGAGTCGCCAGCTGGCGACCACTTCTCAAAATTTAGTCGCCAGTGCTCAATGTTTAGTCGCATTGGCGACCAGTGAGTCGCAATTTCGAGCCCTGTTCAAGGATGGGTTTAGAGTTATTTCACCGAAACAAGCCTGCTTTCCCAATGCATTGAAAAAAAGGGCAAAAAAATGTTGGAAGTAAATTACTTGTAAATGGTACTTGGAAGACTGTTGGAGTACCATTTTTGTTCCTAAACTGGACCAGAACCATGCTGCTCTTCCTAAATTTATTGTGTGATGAGCCAGTGCTATGAGAAGGTTGAACTCAGTGGACTTGGGATCTGCTGAAAGTTTTGTGGCTTTCAGTGGCAGCATTAAATTACTCATGTCATGTCAATTTCTGTTACATTGAGGCATATTTAACATGATATCTTGTTTTAAACTACAAACGAAACCTGTGCCTTCCTAAAAAACCTAGACGGATACCAGACGAAACGATTGTGTTGACTCTCTTTGTTGACTTTTGATAAAAGACAATTACAGACTGGCCAATCAGAATTGTTGGTTCCCACGGCTAGTAAATTCCAGGTTGAATGAAGCAGAAAGGTTTACCACTGATTTATCCATTTTTTTTCATTTAACAGCTTTATCAGTTGATATATCTTAATTTTTGTGACATTATTTTTAGGTAATTGAGCAATTATTGATCTTAACTTCAGCGGAAGATAAGATCTTTCAATTTTGACATGCATTTTCTTGTCTGCACAAAACAACCCGTTTCAACATTTCAAAACACTACAAAATTGGTTGCAACAAACAGATGATTGTTTTGGTTACCAAGCCAGTTTTTCGCATGAAGGGTCCCAGGAAATCTCTCGCGATGTCAACCGATCACGTAGGTCTTTGAATACATAAACTTGAGATGTGCAATTAAACGTTCGAAACGAAACGAACGATAGAAGGAAAACAAGCAATAGAAACGATAGACACAGAACGCTCAACACAATTTAACACTGGAAAACAAACGAACGTTAGACACGCAAACGCTTCAAATGCTGTAAATGCTGCAAACTCTGCACCATTTGGGATTGAAAATGTAATGCTGCCTACGAGAATTTCAGTGAGTCGTGTAAAGTTTTCTGCTTGTTACTTGCTAACCCGGCAAAAAAGAGGAGATTCAAACAACAACTCCACAAGCTGATATAACAGAGAATCTATGACTACGATTATTTTTGTTCACATTCAGTCCATAACAAAAAACATGCAAGTAAAAGTCGGACATTTGTCAGTAATTAGCGACTGTACACCAACACTGTGCGCATGGCCCTCGAAGCTCAGTCAAAAGTCTCTTGAGTGTTTTAGCCCGGTTCCTGAAGTGACGTCACTAGTAACTCGACCCAGATCCCACTTTGCGCGGTCGTGAACATGGAAATTACATGTTGAAATGCCTGTAGAAACACAAGAATTTTATCAATTGAGATAATTTTTTCGCTGAAATAATCAGGGAAACTAGTAGATTTTACTAAAGGAAAAAAAAATTGGTAGGTTAGTGGCACTTTAACAAATTATTATTCTTTGAAATAGAGGTGAATAGTGGGAAAATATTTACTGGGCCACAAAGCCATGAGTTAAATATTCTGCTGCTTTTCACTGAGATTGAAAGGAATAATATTGTGTTAGTTTATACACACTCAGTGATCTCAACAACAGACAATCTCAACATTTTCAGAAGGAAATCATTAAAAGTCAATTCAACTGACCTCGCAATTCATGGGTGAGAAACAAGCAAGCAGTACAAAGCATGCAAAAAACTATTTACAAAATCTTCAAACATGGGGAATCTGTTTAATCTTTGATAAAATTCTCATGACAAATAAGCAAAAAATTTTACGATCTTTTAACGCTGTACAACTGAAAGTCTGCTTGCAAAACATTTTCACCACTCAATAAAAGTTTTGAAGTTCACTTGAGATCAAAATTAAGGTGCAGTTGGCAAAGTGCAGTTGGTGATGTGTGCAGGACTGTGGCAAAAAATGGATGTTGTTTTGCATAAAGACTTTCTCCTGAATATTTGGAGTTGCTTGGTTGAATATTACTTGATGCTGCTGCCGATGATCCCATGGTATTAATTTCTGCCAGCGCTGGGCAGAGAGTGACTCGACAGTGAAGTGTGCTTAGGTTGATGAAATCTGTGATTGCAAAGGACATGTCCTGAAACCGTTTGAATTTCAAGCATCGCTAAGTCTTATCTTTCCTTTGAAAACTTTCTGGCATCTTCATGCATTCTCAGGACTTCTGATTCAGAAACACTGGCAAAATGTGAGTTCACGCTAGTCATTTTGTCTTTGTTTAAATCATGCATTTTTCACTTGGTAGGGAGTGAATCACATTGCTTGAAACTCAGATTGCTGAGTGTGTATATATGTATTTTAAATCAATGAAATAAATAATATTTGAGAGGGATTTGAAGAGAAATACCATTTTTTAAAGGGATCAAAGAAAAATTGGATTATTTTCAGGGTGACAGTTGCAGCACTTTTGTCTATTTTTCAGCAATTCAAGAAAATGATAGCTAACAGACTGAATGTAAGACCTGTGAAAGTGAAACTACCACCAGGAGCAAACCATGCCTATGTCACATTCAGGTATAGTGCAATACTTTTTTTGTTAAGCAATTTATTGAAAAAAAAAAAAACTGGTTACAGTACACATTACAATAGACAATCGCAGCTTTTATAGTTCTTCCATGTGTCTTTAATCCATCCATCTGATAAAATATTAGTTATGCACATACAGTGCAGCTCAGATGTATGCAAACTACGTATACGCATATCATACAAGCGTATTTTGCATATACGCTTATGTTAATACGCGCACACATACGCGTATATATGCCCACATATGCGCGTATATACGCGCGTATCTGTCTCTTTGTTATGCATTCCCATAAGTTTCTTTATGTGAAGCATTGTTGGTCAAACAAAGGACATAATATTTCTGGGAATGAAAAGCCTTCAAAGCGAAATTTGCATGTTGTTAAAACGAGCTAAAACGTCCTGCCGATCAATGAAAACTATCATACTGCAAGTTTTCAATCACTTTGCAAATTCACCAACAAACTACCGTTTATAACACTTGCTTGATCTTAAGTTACCAAAAATGGGAAGAAAATTGAAGCAGTCGTTTGAACTCCCTATTTTAACACGCAAACTTAATGTTTTTACAAGTAAAGATCTGTGTTTTGGCACGTGTCGGCAAGTCGTTTGCAAAATGTTTGTTTGAATTAAGCATTCTGAAGATCCTAGTCCAAAAAAGTGATATTGGCAGTTATATTTGACACAGATCATTCAAATGGTAAAATAATCTTTCCTTGACGAAAAAATTGTTTATCAAAGTTTCTATGGTGCGCCGCTCACATTTAGTTATTTTTTCTTCAAGGAAAAGTTCTGTGTTTTGGCACGCGTCGGCAAGTTGTTTGGGAAGTGTTTATTGTCTGAACTGTTCTGAAGATCTTCATTGAGAAAATGATATCTCCAGTTTTATTTGACACAAATCGTTCATTCAAACGGTAAAATGCTCTGTCTTTAACCAAATAATTGTTTATCAAAGTTTCTATGGCACGCTGCACACGTTTGTTATTTTTTTCTTCAAGGAAAAGTTCTGTGTTTAGGCATGCGTCAGCAAGTGTGTGAAGCGTTCAGAAGACCTTGTCGAAAAAATGATACCTCCGGTTATATTTGACGCAAATCGTTCGTTCAAATGGGAAAATGCTCTTTCTTTAGGCAAATAATTGTTTATCAAAGTTTCACTGGCGTGTCGCTCATGTTTAGTTATTTTTTCTTCGAGGAAAAGTTCTGTGTTTTGGCATGCATCGGCGAGTCGCTTTTGAGATGTTTATTGTTTGAAGCGTTTCGAAGACCTTGTCAAGAAAATGATATCTCTGGATATATCTGACACAAACCGTTCATTCAAATGGTAAAATACTCTTTCCCCGACGAAAGAATTGTTTATTGAAGTTTCTATGGTGCGCCGCTCACATTTTGTTATTTTTAATTTTCTTCAAGGAAAAGTTGTGTGTTTTGGCACACGTTTCCAAGTCGCGCGCTTGCTTGGACCGTGTTTACTTTGTGTAGAAAAAAAGTTATCTTTCGGTTGTGTTTGCTCCCTGAAGATGGAATTGTTGAAGCGTGTATCCCCGGTTTTATTTGGCAAAAAAAAAAAATGGTAAATTTTTGATTTAACAGCAAAATACTCTCTCTTTTAATTATATTCAGTCAGTTCATTTTCTGTCAAGTGCCCAGTTGCAAAATGTTAGTTTCAGCTAACATTTTGCAATAAGTCTAGTCGAAGGCATACGCGCGTATACAGTATACGCGTATGCAAAATAAAGAAAACTCTTTCTCGCTCGGTGGCAAGCTGTCAAGCCATTGAAAACAACAATGACCTGTTAGGAAAAGAAAAAAACAATAGTTTAGCTCATACATACTAGTCAGGCATACGCGTATATACTGTATACGCATATGTGCGCATATGCATACGCGTGTACGTGTATTGGGCTGACGTGAATTACGCGTATATTTTGGTTCGGATATATCCGAGCTGCGCTGTAAGAAAAAATTGTATTCATTACATGAAATCAAACCCTAACCATTTTATGTTTTCAATTTCTTTAGGAACGAAGAGGAAAGACGGGTAAGACTTTCTGGTTAGCCACATCCATAAATCCTGACATATAAGCGTTTTGGGATAGGTTTTACAACATAACATATTTATGATCGCATCACTAGAGCTTGGCATTGCCTATGTAGGATATATTTATCATGAAACTTATCATGAGGCTAAGAATATATCACATTCATAGAGTTTATACCATACTAACAGTCTGGGCTAGGTCCCTTTCCCTTATTTATTTGATTTGATTAAGATGTAAGAAATGTTTAATAGTTGCTAGCCTAGTGATTGCTGTTGTTTGGATTCTTCTTATAGTTGGCCATCAGATCATTATCAGGACACAAGTGGAAAGGAAAAGTACTTTCTGCTAAGGTATGATACACATTCAATAAGGAAAGTTTTGCAAAAGCGTACTGCATAGTTTGCACAGGGTGAATTTGAAATTCCATTTCAGTAATTCCAATTCAGTTTGGGATACCAAAAATGAATGATACAAGACTTTTGTATGTTTCTTAAGAGGCTGATACAGTGCAATTTTGTTAAATGTTTTGTGAGTGACAAGATTAGGAACTGCTTAGCACTGTTTAACGCTGCTTAGCACAGATCCACGCAATGCTAGCTGGTGGTCAGGAGGGGACTTGAAGCCTTGACTTTCACATGTTAAGTCTAGCACTTTTATTACTTGGCCATGCTGCGTAGCTACCATCTTCATAGGGGAGTTTTGGAGAATTAGAAGGTGCCATTTAGCTTTTGGCCTGGAAGAGTCTTCATAAACTGAATCAAAGCTTACTTTTTAAGTGGTAATTTATAGCAGAAAGATTCAATGTACTAACTAGAGGTGATGTAATGTGTATTTTTAGCCTGCTCAGCCTCTTCCTGATCCTCTGGCACTTCAGCGAGCAGAAGGAATGGCAAGAAAGAGAATGATCCAGGGTTAGTAACCAGAGACTTGACTTGCATCTGCCATCAACCTCAAAATTGATAATTATTGCAAAAGAAATGAAATATGAATGACCTACACTGTACTTCATAACTATTGCCACTGACTCTCAACATTAAAAACTCCAACAAGCTCACACAAGAGCACTAGAACTAAGAGTAAACTGATTATCAGGAATTTTGGGTTTAAACCAAATGCACTTGAACCATGAAACCACTGTAGTTGTCAGTAAGCTAAAGGAAGGAAACTAACAAGGGTGTGAATATACTTTTGAGGCTGGAGAAGGGATCTTCTACAACCTTTTGTTAAGTGCGTGATTCTTTCTGTACTGGTTTTTGTGTCATTATGAAATCCGATCACTGATCTATGGAATGCTCTCAGATGCAGCACGATCAAATGTTGATGCTAAGAGAATAAAGGTGGACGATGAAGATGTGGGGGAAGAGCTTGCTATTTCTGTCAGGTGAGAAATTCAGCCACCCTGTTTCCCCTTTGAGCATCACATTCAAGCATGGAGCTCATAATTCCAACCCAAGTATATTTCCTAATCAGTACTTTTGATTAAGTAGATGCGAATGAACATCTTCCAGTTGAAAGTTTTTAATATTTGTTATCGTTTTTCCTCTTGTGTAATTTCCATTTTTTGAGTGAAAAGTGGAATCTACAGGACAGTACAGTCATGTTCTTAATTGTACTTATTAATTTGTACTAGTTAATGTGCCCGATAAATACTTTATATATTCGTTATTTTTGATATTTATGTGATTTGCCTTTTCGTTGACAAGGTTAAACCATGTGGTAACTCCACTGTGGGATCAGCCCTACAGTAAGCAAATGGAGGTAACTAATGCCTTGTTACTGGTACTTGTGTGATGGTGATGATTTGGTTTAAAGTGTAAACAGCAGTCATGTAGAATTATTAGAAATACCCATTTATAAGAGCCTTTGGCAATGAAGGTAGCTACATGTATCTCATTGGTTACTATTTTTGACAAGCAATACCATTATATAATTGATATGAGAAGTGACTGTTATTTAGATTCAAGTTTTAGGGAAGCCATGAAAACATTTTGCATATGAGAGATTTACACAATATTTAGCAAGGTCCACGTGCATCAAGGTTTTGGTTGATCTTAAGCAAAAATGGCATTTTTTTACTACTACAGGGATATTTGTTCAGTTTAGTTCAACTGGTTATGATCTGTTTAGGGATGAGAAACTTGTTGTTTGGGTCTGGTTTTTCTTGAACATTGTAGTTAAGTAAATAAAAGCCGCTAATCTTTGTGGTTATACTGAAAGTTACTATGTCCAATTTCCAATTTTAGACTAAACGGAATAACATGTTGGAAATTCTGGGAAAACTCACCAGAAAGTTGAAAGCCATAATGGTGCTGAAGGTGTGATGAATGGTTATTTACTAAATATCTACCATAAGATTAAAGTTTGTTGTGACAATGGTGAATGCACAGTATAAACAAAAACATCTGCAACAAAAGCAGCAGTATTACTGCACCTTTTTGATGTCACATGAACTGTGCTTGACCGATGGTTGCTTTTTTTCACTGCCACATGTTTGATCCAATATCTTAGTGGACTTCTCAGGACAAATATTTTACTTCAACAAGTTCAAAAACACCTTTGTGGGTTTCGATTGGTAGATATTGATCCATTTTAAGTTTCTTTTGTTGTAATTACTTGTATATGACTGATGGCAGCAAAAAAGAGAATCACTAATTAGCATGTGAAGTCCTGAGTTTGCATGTTATTGAAAGGCATAGTAAAACGGTACATAATTTAATAACAAGACTTTTTGGAAGTGTTACCCTTCTGTATACATGCCTGTTATGACAGTCCTAACTAATTTGCTTTCTGAAATGTACATTGTACCTTTTTGGTTTTTGTTATTGAATATTTAATCAATTTCCATGATGTATGAAGTGTGGGAAATAGTAGGCAGATCACTGCCTGTAGAAAACAGTAGTACATTGTATGTCCATGTTAACTTGCTTATGTCCTTTCTACATGTGCTAATTTATGTTCTTTTCTGTTATTTCATAGAACAACTGGGTTGAACAGGAAAGGTAGGCCACTTCATTCAGGGCTCGAGACTAGCGGAAGCCAACTAGCCACAGACTAGTAAAAATTCCATTTTGGCTAGTGGTTTTTGCGCTTCACTAGCCATTTTGGCTAGTGAAAATGAAAATTTGCGAGCGCTGGAGGCCCAGAGGAAACCAATTAAAAGTTAATTTCAAATTTTTCACGAAACAAAATCAAGTCAAAGCATGCAGAATTTAAAACATTGGCTGTAATAAATATTATATATAATTTATTGGCCCAAACAAGAACTTTAAATTACTAAAATGCAAAAGAATGATTGACTTTTTGTTTGTTTTTCTCTTAGTAAAAAGCGACGAACGACAAAAAACTGCTTGCTGCTAATGATAAGCCATGCATGAAACCATGGGGAACTCTAGGGATCATGTTTCATGTGCGCAGCATCTGGAGGTCACATACGCTTTCAAAAAATTAAGAAATTCGCAGTTGTTCGAAAATTTGAATATATAATATCGATGCCTATGTTTGGAACTTGTAAATAAAAATGTTGTGTTCATGAGAAATCGTGAATTGACATTTTGAGAGAAAGGAATGTTTTTTGGCGGCGAGTTGCGAAGTTCTGTGGGAATTTCTCACGGAAGTGAAAACTTCGGTTTTCGTTGTTTAGCGACTCCTATAATTTTAGCATTGATTCCTATGTTTGCAAATGTCTGCGTCTGGCTAGTGAAAAATTTATTTTGGCTAGTAAATCAAACCTGTCAATAGCCACTGGGCTAGCAAGCTGAAAAGTTAGTCTTGAGCCCTGTTATCGGAGTTATAGTTGCATTATCATGTGACTTAGGTAAAACAGAACAAATATAATTATTAAATTTTGCAGAAAAGTCAGAGTTTTGTGGGGTCCATTTCACAGGGGTTGATATGAAGTGTTCAATGTGGCCTGTCACTTGGAATGTTCTTCATAACAGATGTTTAAATATGATCCACCTATGCATAATCCTTCTTTTAATGTCCAGTCTAACAAGGCCTAGGCCAATTCTTTGAACCCCCTGGAAATACATAATGGATGTTAGATGCGATATTGATAAGTGCCATATATGTACCTTAGATTGACAGTTATAAGCTGGATTTTAATCAGTAGACTTCATTTTTGTAGTGCTAAGAGGAATGGAATTTGTTGTGAGCTGCTAGACTGTGTAGAATCGGTGAGTAGGAAATTCCTTATTCCATAATTTGCCAACATTGTCGTGAAGACCTGTTAAGCTTTGTGTCTGTCAGACTTACATACTTGCATCATTTCCTATGGTCGTGCAACAGACTTAATCTGTTTTTATGAAGTTACAGATTTTTGCATGTACTGGTAAAAATGCATTTTTACGCTTTGGGAGTTCATGGTTGCAGTCATCACTGGGATCAAATTGATGACTTTTGAAAGAACTGACTAGAAGAGGAGAAAATCCACTATCCTTGTAAATTACATGGGCACAAATTCACAGTGGCATGGAATGTTACAAGTGGGTCCCTTTAGTACGACCATAGCAATGTGATGGGCGACACGATACATGAAGTCAGACCTCATCCCATCCATTAACTTTCCCTTTCAAACATTTCAGCCTGTTCTTGATGGGTATCGTAATAAGTGTGAGTTCACTATTGCTGAAGGCCCTGATGGAGGTAGGACACTAGTAAGAGTGATTAGAGAGTACATGCTTAATTGGCAAATTTAGCTCCAGTTGAAAAAGCCCCATAAGGCTCTGTTTACATCACTTGTACAGTGAATTGCTACCGATTCCTGGTGGTGATGAACTCATACTAGAGACCCTCTGGGTGATGTATGCTTTGTACAAGTGTAAACAGGGTCTAGCAAATGCAAACATTAGCGTATTTCTCTTGAAAAAAATCAGTAACCAAGGTCATTATTCCAAAGGCAGTGCATAAAAATTATGGAGCTGAATGAGCTGAAAAGAGCTGTTTGCATGCCTCCTTTTACCCTGATATCTCCCAATAATTTTGATATACAGTATATTGAAATAATTTGCTATGGTATTAAACTCAATTATTTAATAAGTGTGGTGACAGTAAACAACTATTTATATTTTGTCTTTTTTCTTTCAGGAAAAGTTATTTTCTGTTTTAAACTTCAGGCCTTGACATTCAGAGTCTACTCTAGAGTGCATGTGATAGTAATCACTCCCCTTTCCCGGCCAAACAAGTCTCATAGGCAATAATTATCTCTGAGTTCTGTAATTAAGGAATTTCACGTCATAATTACATGTACATGTAATTCAAGATCAGGGCTGTCATTAAGGGCAGTAACCTGTAACACCTGTTACGGCTGAGTATGCTTGATTTTCCCTTGATGCTATGGGTGAAATTGCTTGTTGTTGAAAGAATTACCCACAAAGTAACAAGTTTGCTACGGGTGTGGAGAACAAGAGCACAGGCAACTTAATGACAGCCCTGAAGATTACATGTTGACTGTTATTATGTTTCATCCTTTGTAGCTAAAACTGTTGGATTCCGTCTTGGCTCCTACAAAGGTAAGCCTTTTTTTCATTCTCTTTGAAGCATCATATACCAGTATAGGTTTAAAAATGTCTGCATCTTCAGGGTCATAAATGATCAACATTAATATAAAGTGTAAAATTTGAGCTTAGCCCTTGAGTTCCCAGGAGTAAATAACATCTAAATTTTGTGTTCAGTTAAGTTTACATAGTTGTTATGCAGACAATAGTTTATGAGGTTAAAAGAAAGTCATCATTAACGATCCTCCTTGACGATCCTGACTAACCACAAAATTTTTAGAACTGGCATTGAATACGATATTTGGCCTTCAGTGAGAGAGAACACCTACATGTATTTTGAGTTTGGAAGTGAATCAAGCCTGCTTAAAGATGCCAGAAAACCTGAGAAATGGACTGTCATGTGTGTCATGTGTGTTTTGCCCTGAACTATTTAGACTCATGTCTTGTTGAATTGCTGAGAGATGTACCCAATGTTTTTGTTTTTCTGTAGAGGGTTACAGTGGAGTTGTAGAACCTTCTGAATGCATTCATATTTCAGAAAAGGCCAAAGCTATAGCTAAGGTATTGTAAGTACCTAAATGTCCATGAAAGGTTCATTTCTATTGTCACTAAGCAACATTGTGAATCATTGTAGGTCACTGTGAGTCATTGGAAATCATTGTGAGTCTCAAAGCATGTCTTAAACATCTTTTTTAACTATTCATCTAGTCATTTCACTCTGAGGAAGGCAGACAGAACGTTGCCAAAACTTTAGCTTACTTTTACATCATTTTATTGCATTTTTAGGTCAGATCCAACATTTTTTATGGTTTTAATTGTGAGTCTCCTGGGGGTATGTTGAATAGTTGACTAATTAGAAGTGAATTTCTTGCAGGCTTTTCAGACTTATGTGAGACAGTCTCCATTACCAGTATATGATCTTTGTTTTCACACAGGGTAGGTTGCTATGTTAGTGAATGAATATTATTATGTCAGCACCTACGTTTCTAACAATATCATACTTGGAAGGAAGCTTGTTGAGTGAATAAGTTGACCATGTTCTGCATTGTAATTTGGTGGATTTGTTCTTTGTACATGTGGCGTCCAGTTCGATTCATGCATCATTCTGCCAGTTTGGATTTGGAAGTTATTAACCTTGTGACACTTAGAAATGATCTGTGTTATATAATATATCTGTAATTTTGATTTCTTTTTTGAGTGGCATTCCAGGAAACTAACTTTGAGATAAGTGCAAATCCACTGCATGTACATGTATATTTATTCACTTTGTTTGATTTTGTAACCTTGTTTACAGAAAGTAACTTTTAAGCTGTAAATTTTGCTGAGGTAGTGAGACACTTGCTGAAACAGCCTTTTTTGTAGTCAATTCTTGTTATATCTAGTAATACTATCAGGTTTACTTAACTAGGCTGTTTTGTGTACCCTGTAATTATGTTTGATAGCTATTGGCAGACACTGACTGTTCGGAGCTCCATGTATGGTGACACAATGGCAGTCCTACAATTCAGTCCACAAAAAATGACCAAGGTAAAGTGACGAAAGTACTTTTTGTTAAAATGCATGGGGATTGGTATCTTACTATTAAACAGTTTATCACACATGTGAGATTTTGGTAAAAGCTCTTTTACTCACATTAATGTTTAACCCATTGACTCCCGGAGCTTTTTGCCAAAAAATGCATTTTTTGGACATTTTGGACATCTGAGCCTGGATATGAGTCAAATTAGCTGCATTGTACTTGAAAAAATTCCCAAGAAAGCATCATCAAGACGAACAATTCTTACCCTGGAGTAGCCAAGTGTACCCGAAGGAAATTTTGCTCCGAGTTTTCCACTAAAATTTCTGAGCATTTTCGTGCATATTTTAGGCTCTGTTGAGCCAATCACTCTGATCTGGGTATCAAAGGAAAGATCTTTTCTTCTGGCAGAACTTGAGTGTAGATGATGCCAATTTTGGCCAAAGGTGATGACGTCAGAAGAAGAACAAAGGCCAACGCTCATCACACCTGGTTATGGCTGGCGCAAGGGTCAATGGGTTAATAAGAATTCAGCAAACTGTTTTAGAGACACTTTGATGGTGTTAATGCATTAAGAGTATTTTCAAACTTTTTTCACTGTAGGAAGAAATAGAAGCTGAAAAAAATCGCATCAGTGAGTACTTTAAAACTGGAGATGGCAAAGATGTTACTCTGACATCCCTTTATCTGCAAATAAACCACACAAGGTATGACTTCCTCATGAAATGACAAGTGTTTCTTTATCAAGTAATATCAAGGATCATCAAGGAAATGTAGTGATTTGGACCATGTTCAGAGTTTGATATCCTCTTTGACCTAGTATGCTGCATTATTACATTTTTAAAACATTTTGCTGCGGCAAGTAAAACAAGCAAACAATACTTGTAACAACAGGAAGTAAATCCTATACCAAGCATTTATACCCAGCTGGTTATGAATGCAACATGTCCTTTCTTGTTGAATGTTACTGGAAAAGTTGTCATCCAGATGTACTAACAGTAATATAGTGGCACTGTGTCTGTGTCTGAGGATTGTTCATTGAATGCTGTATTATATTTTATAGGGCTGTTGGAGGGAATGCAGAAGCTCCTTTTGTTCATATCATGGGAGAAGAGGTTAGATTTAATATCATCATCAGTATCTGATGACTATGGCAAAAACGTTTGGTTCTATTTTTTAAAAATTTAAAATCTTTTCTGTTGTTACAAATCATGGATTGTTCCAGGGGACTGTCAACTCACTGTAGTGTTTGTGTACATTTTAGCACATTTATGAAGAGCTTTGTGGCCTGAGGTTCAGGATATCTCCTGATTCCTTCTTCCAAGGTAAGTTGATCACCCTCAATCCTAAATCGTGACCAGTACTAATCTTTCCAGACTTCTCTACACCATGCAATAACAACTTTTAGCAGTAAGGTTATGAGAATGAAAGATACTGATAGAGCACCAAATTCTCCCAAGTCTAGTTTTATTATGTGTAGTGTTTGTAAATCAGTGGAGATTTTGATCCTGGGTTCCCAAAATGACAAGGGTGCTGAGGTACCAAAACCGCTTGTTTAACTGCTAAAAGGTAGGACGAGTACCCCCCCTCCCCCTCCCTGGGCCTGGGATACTTAGAATTTGATTATCTGGGTAGGCTTGTCCCCAGTCTTATCCATCTGCCCCCAGTTGCTTTAAAAAAAAAGATAGAGAACTTTATCCATAACATAAATTACTTTCCGCTGGATAGCGTGGTTTCCCGGTTTGTTTAAAAGACCATTTGCGAATTACCTTGTGCTTCTGTTTCAAAACGAGTCTTCATGCAAAACCTTTCATATGAAAATGAGTTTGATTTGCATGAAAATGAACCTGTAGGGGGAACACAATATATATATTTCCATATGAATGGTTTCGCACGTAGACTCGTTTTGACACAGGGACAAAAGGCACCTCGGAAATGGCCTATTGTTACCTGTGTGGTTTGTTTTCTCTCTAGTTAACACCAAGGCAACTGAAAAGCTGTTTGACTTACTGAAAGAGTGGTGTGGTGACCATCTAGATGAGACAGTTGTTCTTGGTACGTAGTTGTTCTGTGAGATTTTGCTCATCACATAGAGTGAAAGACTGTCTTTGTGCAGGGGAAAGGGGGCCTCAGTCTCTACTTGGCTTCTGCGTTTTGGACATATAGGTCAATTGCTGGGTGAAGCATCACCGTCACCTTACCAAGAACTACTGAGACGAAAACGTGCGAGTTCATAAAGACATTTCTGTTGTGGGAGTGCATGCTGTCGTCAGTTTACAAAGCGACCTTTCAAGGCGTCCATCTGAATTACTAGCTATTAACTTTTTTCTCTTGATGTCTGCAGATATCTGTTGTGGTACTGGAGCTCTTGGTCTCTGCCTGGCCCAGGTATGTTTTAGCGCTCAGCACCGCTCAGTTTCAGTTGGACTAAATTGCAAGAGTACTGAGAATGTTGACATTATACACTATTCTTGTAACAACCGTATTAAGATTTTGCACACACTTTTTCAACTCATAATTGAAAATCGCTTTCAACTATAAGCGCAAACATTTTTGAACCAGAAAATTCCTTTCGATAATAAACCGCAAGAAATTAAACTAACCAAAAAGCCTTAAATTTGGTAAAATCTAATCATCGTGGTAATTTATCTGATGGGATGCGATGTTGCTTGTTACAGAGTGTCAAACGCGTAATTGGTGTTGAAATAATTGAAAACGCCGTGGAAGACGCCAAGGCAAATGCCCAGCTGAACGGTGAGTTTAAGCGTCTTGTTTCAGTTCCCTTGCTATTCAGTTGGTTAAACAGTGATTCTAACGTTATATCTTGCTCTGTAGGAGTTACGAACGCTCAGTTTGTGTGCGGTAAAGCAGAAGACATCATTGTTGATGTGTTCAAGAACATGCCACGGAAAACAAAAATTATTGGCATTATGGACCCTCCTCGCGCCGGACTGCGTGAGTAAAACACATGAAGATCATCACCAATCACTCCTGGCACTCTCCGGTTAGACTGTTCACAGCCCTCTATTTTCTCGTATTTTTGTTCGATCGTTGAACGCGCGAATAGAATCGCGAGAGAACTGGATGCCAGCGGAAAACGGGAGATTTAACAGGGTAGAAGATGGGAACCGAGAAAGAAATTCTCTAGTCGTTTATCTCGCTTCGCTCTCCTCCCCGCCCTCACCTCTTTGTGCTCGCGCTCGCTTTGCTCGCTTTTTCTTTCACGTACGTTGAAGAGTAAAGAGGCTGTGAACAGTGTTCTCTCCGGTACTTCAGAGAGTTTTCATTTGGCAAACTTTTCCACAATTAGACGATATTTCCACTATGCTCCGTGCTATTCTCTGATTGGTCAATCAGAATCGTAATTTTCTCGGTCACACCTCGGAGGATTTCATGAACATGGCACTCTGACATATTTTGCGATATATTGTAGTGAAGTTATACGACTGATTGAAGTAGAGTGATCTTGCAGTTACTTTTGAAAAAAAACTACCTTGTATCAAGCCATTATTTTGATTTTTCTTTTCTACTTGATCCTTATTTTCTTGTCACTTTACAGATCAATCAGTTCTTCATGCCATCAGGAAGAGTCGTCGAATGGACAAACTCATCTACGTGTCGTGTAACCCGAGCGCCGCTTTCGTCAACTTTCTCGAGTAAGATACCAGCAACAACTATTGGCTTATTTGTCACTTTCCTTTTTCTGACCAACAAGAAAAATACAGTGGAACCCCGTTAATCCGGTCACCAACGGGCCACAAAAATCTGGTCGTATTAACGAGGTGGCCGTTTTAAAGGGATTCTTTAAGTAAGAAAATAACTGACTGAGCTTTTGTTCAGGCCAGAATAAAGTGGTCGTAATAACGAGGTGACCGTATTAATGGGGTGGTCGTAGAGCGGGGTTCCACTGTACGCGGTAAATTAGGTAAATGACCAGGCAAAGCAGACAAACGAGAGATGAAGGTCTCCCTAATTCTCGGTTATGTTATCTCTGCATTTGACTTTTCCTTCATAATCTGAATAATGGTCTAACTAACTAGTTAAGACGTAAAATTTCTTCCTGCGTTGATTTGACGCAGACAGGTTTAATAGGACATGGTAAGAAGAGGTTGTCATTTAATTTGGTGACCTTGCATGTCGCCACAAGGTTATATATGCAGTCATTTTTGAAGCTGGTTAATGGATACAGTTTCCGTCAGCTTGCTTTACCTCTGACCTGCGTGATCGGATATAAAATACATATGGTCGACAGTACCAGCTAGTGAGCTGGTGGTAGCTACCTATCAAGTATTTCTCTCCCTTCTCTAATATGGCTTTTTGTTGATCAGCTTGTGCAGGCCAACTTCGAAGAGAATCAAAACAGCTCCATTCCGCCTGGTAAAGGCGGTACCAGTGGACCTGTTCCCTCACACCAAACACTGTGAGTTGCTGCTATTGTTTGAGAGAGACATGACTTCAGTGGACGCAGCCAAGTTTTACAAGTGGTACTACTGAGCACTCATACTTAATAATATTGAATAAAAGAAATTTATCAACGAGGGACACGTTTAGTGTACAACGCTTCTAAACACAAGGGGTGCTTGCTTTTAACCAAACAATGCCAACATTTTCGGCCTCTCTATTTCCTTTCAGAACGGAACCGCGGCAAATTTGGTCACCATAGGTTCACAAGCACCCTAGAACCCCGCCAACTTGAATTGCCGAGGGAAACAAAAAAATAGCTCCGGTTAGCAGGGGTTCCGCTTAGCGGGGTTGGTATAATATAATAATAATTCATGAAGTATTGTGCTTTTGCTTATTCGCGAGTCGTTTTCAGTCTTTCATGGGCCTGACTAACGTTTCCAGAAATTCTCACGTTAATCGGTCGTCTTGCTGTTTTTCGACCGACAGTTCATAAACGTTTTAAGGGCCCATTAACCGATCTTTTCGAGCCGTTGCTAAGGAAAATTTATTCTCATATAACCTCGTCATTTTTAGTTAGTTCTGAGTTATTTCATGTGTTTTAACTTTTTCATGATTGGTAACACTAGTGATGACGTCATCAGGCCACGCCCATGGTCATGTGACATACTGAAAAAACGCAAAGGCTCCCAGGCAAATTACTTTATCGGGATTTTTTTCATTGATTTAATATGTTAATTTAAATCCTCATTACGCTATGCATAGATTTTGTTTCATTTCTAAAAGGTCAGATTTTGAGAGAATTTGAAAATATTGAAAAATTCCTAATTTTCTGAAAAAAGCATGATTTTGAANGCTATGCATAGATTTTGTTTCATTTCTAAAAGGTCAGATTTTGAGAGAATTTGAAAATATTGAAAAATTCCTAATTTTCTGAAAAAAGCATGATTTTGAAAAAGGAATGCATAGCTATCTTTCCAACGTTGGCTTTGATCGAAATTCGTCGAAAAAGGTGGGATTTAAATAAAAACCGCGTTTCCTTTAGCATTTAAAGAAACCGGAAGTGCGCCCGATATATATTGGAAGTTACCCTATCAGCGCGTGCGCAATTTACACTACCAACGCACTTCGGTAAGATCAGACAAAGCCACACGGAGTTAGTTTTTCTCTTTCTATTGCTCTTGTTTTTTTGTCTTTTTGTTATTTTGTCTCTGCTTGTACTTTTTTTACTTTGCATTTTGTGAAACACAGAAAAACATCTAAATGTAAGCGAATTTGGAAGTTATTGAGTTGTTTTTATTTTCCGCGCTCAGGCTGACGAAAGTAACCGGAAGTGAAATTTCACCTCCTTAGCAACGTGCGCTCGCATAAATCGGTTAATGGGCCCTTAAGGATAAAATTCGACTTATCAGCCAGGGTTAATATCAGACACTGTTCTACTGTAATCTGGTGTGGTACCACGTGGTCACTTTAAACCAATAAGAACAAGAGGAAAATTTAATTAGTTCAGGTGTTGTGAATTGGGGAGTGAGGATGGCAAATGTGAATGTCATGTGAACATTGGAACCAATTAGAACAAGGGAACGTATGTAGAACTGTTATATGTTTCTTTACAATGAGTCTTGCTGTTCTTATAAAGGCACTGGTTCCCGGACGAGAAAATCTTGTCGAGAACAAGTGTGGTGATATGTTGTTTTACAAACAAGTATTTATGTAAAATATTCATAGGAATTCTGTTAGGTATTCTTCAGGTGTATACAGAATTTAACAGGGTTGTGTAAATGTTTCATCTGTCAGAGTTCTAAAAGTCGCAGTAGAAACAATAAAATATGAACGTATATATCGTTTCTGACGTGAAAGATACTTTTTAAAACTTTAAGAAGTCTATGTTACACCCAGGTTCATGCAGTGCAGTGCAACCCCATGAAATGCTAAACACTGTTTAAGTCACCGAATCGAGTAAATGCCATCCTTCAGGCGGCGAGGCCTGGTGTCCAGTGTTTGCGCGCTAGTTTACTGTTTTTGGACAAGAGAGCACTCTGTTCGTTGTACTGGGGTTGCATTGTGCAATGATTTACTTTGTAGAGAGATCTACTAAAGCAACTAATAAGGCTGTAAAACAAACAATTGACTTGAAGTACTGAGAACTATCCAAGAAATTTATAGAATTTTATTACCTTTGGTTCGGTGATATATATATTACAATCAACTTTTAATTTATTCTTCACGTTTTACAATGTAAAAGATGCGATTAAATGTTTAATAAATGTATCACAAAACTAATTACTGATCAGTTTCAATTCAATAACAGTAACTCAAGGGTGAGACGTGCCGCTCACACTGAAACACTACTTTAGCGAGATGGAGCATCTTCATCATTGAACTCCTTAATGGCCCTCAGTTCTTTATTCGTCCCCTAAAAATAATAAAGACATCCAAAATCTCGTTAAATCCGTTTTGATCGCCAATCTAATTGGTTAAAAATTGTTGGAAATGTTTTAAAAAGTTCAAGTCGATAAAGGTCATTTCCTGTCGGAAGACCTGTGCAGACTTGGTGCAAAACAAAATGAAAGGGGAAATAACTAAAGTAACCTAACTAGATCCACGAATGATTTCTGAAATAGTTGGTTGCTTTGTTTTGGAACTTATTCAGACATCACCTTGTCAACAAAGTGCGTAACGTAATGTTTTGCTTTCCACTGTTTTTCCAGTCGCTTTATCATGTAATCAAAACGGTTCGAACAAAAGGTCTCTCTCAAGAGGGTGAAAAATGTGATTACAAGGTTATCACTATTTCAGTCACCGCTAATGACACGCTGGAGTTGCCACTACATTCGCCTAACGGTGCTTTAAATTAACACTAAAACCAACGACATTTGCTGTACCTCTCTGCCTTCCACTTTCAGTCCCATTTCCTGTGCTGTTTGTTTAATACATGCTTTCTCTTGCTGTGTTAAGGTTGCGGGAAAGCATATTTCTTTGGCACTCTTGTCCTCTTTAAATTCCCTGGAGTAAAAAATAATATTACAATTTACTGCTTATTTGAAACGCGTTCTAGAAGGCGAATTGTAATTACAGGAAATATCGATTGGTTTTGATAGGTTTTGCGGGATAGCTCTCGGTAAAACCACAAGCATGTGATGGTGAAAACATGCCTTATTGAAATGGCAAGGAACCAAAAACGAACAAATTTCGTTCTTAGATCAAGTTTCCGTAGAACGTATAACAAATGTGAGTTTTATTCCAGCATAAAAACACGATGTATGTTTTCAAACAGAAACAAATACTAGGGAGAAGTTAACACCTACCTTAGCCGCTTGACAAGTACTTCCCTCTTTTCCTCGGCGAGGTCCACAGATGTAGGCACCGTTTTATCGTTCTTGTCTCCTACAAATAAATTGGAAACTAGTATTGCTACAAGTTTATCAGGACTGCGGGATGGTTAAATTTAATTTTTTCTCGAAGCATTGACTCTTCATACCTTTTTTGGTAGCAGAAAACATCCTTGCATATGTCTGCTTTTCAAGTGCTTTAAACTGACTCACTTTCCTAGTGCGACAAAATAGAAAAGAATACACGAAATTAAGCCGTACTCTGGAACTTACAGTCGCATTCTTGCAAAAGGGTGGTTGTGGAAATTCTTTCCCCGGTGTCAGTGTGCACTCTCTCCCCAATCCCAATCCACTTACATCTTTCTCTAAAAAGAACTTGGCTATCGAAGCAGGAAGATAGCTTATGACTAATTTACTCGCTAATATGTAAACCAAAACTACTGGTTAGTTGTAGCCTCTCGAGGTTTGATACTAACGAACGAGGTATACTGTTTCTACAGGTATACTTCTGTTGCTTGCTGTGGCAATTGTAGCCCTTCGGTTTACTTTTAATGAGATGCATTTTCGGTTCGTTATCTTAATCGTATACGGACCGAAAACTCCCTTAATAAAGAGTTGGTTCATGCTTAGCGTGCGTATATCGAGTTATGAATGCACGCGGAAAGTTTGGAGAGCACGAAAGAAGCGCAAGAGTTGCTCGAGGCGACAGCCGAGAGCCACTCTAGCTTCTTGAGTGCTCTCCAAACTTTCCAAGTGCATCCATAACTCGATATATGCACAGCTAAAAGCATGAACCAATTCTTTTATAACATGGCGACAACATATTCGGCGCTAAAACATGTTTTATTTGTGATTAACTACAAAGTTCTCACAATGCACGGTGAAGGAAAACAAAGGTCATTCGGATCCTAACACGTCACAATCAGTTGAACGAAAACGCTTAACCTGGTTTCTAAAATTGTCAACGAAAAATTCGCTTCTTCGATTTACTTATAATGAAAATGTAGGCTAACAAAGTCAAAATACTCAAGTTTAAGTAAACATCTTAGCTCGCCAAAAGTCAAAGGCTCGAAGCAGGGTTTGAATTGTTCAGAATAATCTTCACATTGCCGAAACTTAAACAAAAGGAACTCGCACTAAACTCGACGAAAATTTTGCAGCTGAAATGAAACTGCACACGTCATTTTATTGAGCACGGCCGTGGGTACGTATAAAAGATTTTGTTCATGATGGCTTAATAGGAATTAGGTAGGACTAGCGTGCGCGCTATGTTATAACATCCGTACAAACGTACGGAATCACAAACCGTTTCATCCAATAGCTCAGGTATGACGGACCGTATACGGACCGAACACTGACCGAAAACTGCCTTTAAAACACTTCGTCTAAGCGGTACGAATTGACAAACCATTTCGCTCCCGCGTTCAGGCGGGGGTTGCATTTCACTTAATGAGATGCAGTTTCCAGATTTTCCGATCAAATACGGACTGAAAACAGTCTTTTACGTTATGTCAAACTGTACGGATTGTTCAATTGTTATTTCGAACCCTAGTCGTTTGTGTCGGTAGAAAAACAACCAAAGTCTTATTACGCGGTACCTTGTTTATGGCATTCACCATGTACATATAACAATGTTTGACGAAACATTCAATGTTAATACACCTTTTGCTGTTCATTTACAGAAAATATCCATTCATTTGAGTCCAAATTTGTTTCATTATAGTCAACATACTCTTATTAACACCAATATGACCTTCATTTGCGCGTAAGGAACGTTCAGGAATAACACCATATCCGCGAAAGTGACAATCTTTAGTACGTTGAGACAGACATTACCGTGTTTTCACCTAACGTTATTTTTAGCATTCTAATTATTTTAAGCTGAGGGCCCCAAGTTTATCAGTAACTTTAAGTTACTGTCACGGGTCACCCTCATTAAATAAAGTCTTTCACTTCACTTCACTTCACTTCAGATAAACGGAGAGATATCGTAAACAGAGATATCGCGCCCAATTTTCCTCGAAAATTTGATTATAGAACTAGGGACCGTATGTACCTTTTTTAATCGTATTTTCACAATCCTCCCCTTGCAGATATAAATTCAGCCCCTTACGAATCTTTTGCGCACAACTCAGAGGACGCACTACTGTATACATGTGATAAAGTGACAGTTAGATTTCCCCACTAATGCCAGGAAGAAATAGAATCCCATTTGAACACAGCGAAAGGATAATCAGGGCCTAAATGTGGACAATGGTATCGTTTCATGCAAACATATTTGCCACGATCCCTCAATAGTGAGGCAATTGAGGGATAGATCGTTCAGCAAATTTGATATTCTCTCTTCCAAAAATAAATGTTATTATGGCTGTAATGTTTGTCTCATCTTCGTGGATATGGTTGTATAATAATGCAACTGATTGTGAGTGCTCATGCAAATTCTGTTATTGAAAATCTTTTGTTGAAAAAGGAATGTCCAAAAGTGTAAATGATTGTCGTTTCGTGACAACGAATTTTATTTCGACTAAAATGAAAATACATTTACAGCCAATGAATGTCAAAGGAAGGTATTGTTTGCCTTTTGATGATTTTGAATGTTAATACATATGCAAGTGTTATTCTTGAACGTTCCTTACGCGCAAATGGTCATATTGGTGTTAATGAGAGTATGTTGACTATAATGAAACAAATTTGGACTCAAATGAATGGATATTTTCTGTACAGCAAAAGGTGTAAACACATAAACATTACTTGTCAAGCTCAACCAGTGCATCTTTTACTGGCTTGTTACTGGGTTCATAATACTGTGCTTTTTTGAATTTGTCTCTGGCGCTGTCAAATTCACCCTGCTTCATGTAAGCCTGAAAAAAGAAATAAGAAATAGCATTTTAAAGAGGACAAACTTGGTTTGTTTGAGGGGAGAGTAAGGGGGGGGGGGGGGGGTTGAAACACGGCAAAACAAGTTTCAAGTTTTGCTATCCGTCGTTTTCCATGAAAGTCATGACCTTTACAGCGTTTCCTATAAGGTTGGGAATTTAACTGAATTTTCAAAACAGATTTGATTACCGATTTGAGCAAATGCAAACAGCAACAAAAGTAACTGTTGTCTTACAGTAGAACGCGGTGCTTAATGTATATTTAACAAATTGACGTCAGTTTTTCATGCGTCTGTCCTGTTATTAATCATGAATTTCCCTTCATAACATCGTCAAAGTAGCTGTATCATTGTCAATAACAGGACAGACACAAGAAAAACTGCCGTCAATTTCTTTTTTACAATAACAAATTGTCAAATTGTCCGCTCTCGCTCTTAATGATGAGGAAAATTAGCCACTGAGCGCGCGAGAATTTCTGCAGTATTGTAAAAAACAATATCAGTTTCCTCAAAGCTAGAAAATAGCGTTGTAGATCGTAAACCGATAAAAATTGCAAGCGGTTTCAATAATCTCACCAAAGCCGCTAAACATCACATATTCTTGAAGGTTCATTGATCTGGGGATGGTGGAAGAACGGGACATTTGAACCATAACATAATATTGTTAACAGTGTTAGTTTCTCTTATCGGATGAAATAAGCTCCCGGGACCTTCCTTTTAAAGACACTTCTCTATTTACTTGGTACTCTTTCCCTAGCCTCCGTGCAAGTGTAGAGAGGAAGGAGTAGGGAATTCAGTATGTTACCTTGCCCATTCTGTAAAGAGCCTTGGTATTCTTTGGGTCAATTGCTAAAGCCTGCAACAATGTAATAACAATGTTAAAGAAACCCATGTCATAAAGCCACAATATTTACATCATCATAAATATTGAAAAGACGGTTCATTGATAGCTTTGTCTTGATAAAGAAAGCCATAGTGCAGTATCAAAGAGGTCATGGGTCCGAATCCCGTTCAAGCCTGAATTTTTTTCAGACTTTAATTTCACAACTACTCAGGTTGTGTATATAACTGCAATGATCAATCATGTCTTCATAAGTGATTATATTGGTACCACTCTTTATATCAACAGTTCACCAAATGTTTGTACCTTTCTTGCATAAGTGAGTACTTTCTTTACTTCGACTAATTCTAAATAACAATGAGCAGCATTCAAATAAAGCTTCAGCAAAACTTCATTCATCCATCTCTCCTGGTCAGCATTCTGAAGGTTGCTGTTTTCCAGTATCTTAATAGCCTACGCATGTCCAAAATAATAACAGCATGGGTTAAGAGGTCTGTTAATGCCCTGTAAATCTATTGTACTAGAATTATCAGCAGCCCCTGGCCCCAGCCCTACCCCCCCAAAAACAACAGCCCTGCCCACAACCCTAACCCCCCCCCAAAAACAACAGCCCTGCCCACAACCCTAACCCCCCCCCAAAAAAAAACAAACAAACAAACAAACAACAACAGACAAATAGGAAAAGGAAGTTGCAAGAACATTAAAGCAAATTTGACAAAGAAAGCATTGCAACTTTTGGAGTGCAATGAATAATCGGAAGAGAGACATGAATCAAATTACTGACAAAAGTAAAAGGCAGTAACTAAACAGTCACTACACTGCAAGCAGGTAGTCTGGCGTTTTACCTTTATATATTTGCTCACTGCACGAGAGACTTGTTTGCGCTTGTAAAAATCATTTCCAGCCTGGAAAAACAAGAACACATTACAAAAAGCTAATACTTCATTTGGGATAATAAAAAAATAATGACATATATTAGCCGGTAATAATCAAGGATGGTGGAAATGGCAACAACTATTATTGTTTCATGTACCTCCCTCTCTGCATTGGCCACTTTTAAAAGTTGTTCAAACGTTGCCTGTTTTCTTTCTTCCTGCAAGCAAAGATTTAAGCTGTTTAACACAATTTTTTTTAGATAATACACTCCTTCATAAGGAATGATCTGATTGTAAGTCAGCACCTTGTCTAATCCTTAATGATACCCATTTGATGAGTTATAGACTGATGTTACTATTGGTTATTGACCAAGCTTGTTCAGTCAAGATGGCTGGATAATGGCCAAGTTCTTTCTTTGCCTGATTATGGACCAAGACAGAGTCCAGGTCCATAAACAGGCAAAAAACGAATGAGGGCAATATCAAGCTATCTTGACTGAACAAGCTTGGTCAATAAAGGATTTATTACGAACATGCTAAGGACAATGTATGTTCTTCGTTCTGAGAACGTGAATGCCCCAAAGCGGAAAACACGGTGATTATTCTCCATTCTCAAAGCGTGAGAGCCGAAAAGCACTATTATACAGTCTATACTCGTCGGAGTCCTTAAAGCAGGAGAGTCAAAAAGCGCTACTTAATAATATGCTCCCTCGTCATAGGCCTGCAATGCGTGCAGAGAGCTTTATGCCCCCCATCATAGACCTGCAATGCGTGCAGAGAGCTTTATGCTCCCTCATCATAGGCCTGCAATGCGTGCAGAGAGCTTTATATTATTAGAAGGTATATTCCTCGTTCTAAAAACATGAATGCCCCAAAGCGCAAAACACAATTAATGTTCTTTGTTCTCAAAGTGTAAGAGCCCAGGAGCGCTATGTACGAGTAGTGCGAAAAGGAAGATGCCATTATACGAATCGTGTCAGTTCATGTATTTTTCGACAATCATTGCTATTCATCATGTTTTGCACTTTGGAGAATATTGGACAACCCTCGTCAATCACAGTGCAGGATTTGGTTCATCTTGCCTGCTCACAGAGCAAGCCACGTAATAAGGCTGGTTGACAGACCAGGCATATTTTACACTTACTTCTGTAAATGCATCATAGTCATCAGCAGCTTTGTGGTCAATATAGCTCAGTAACTCCACTTCAAAAAGCACTGTCAAAAGATGGTGGAAAAAAGTTGGATGTTTGTTGTATTCAACCTACATATCAGTGACCTTACTCCTGTGAATGCCCTGCAGTTCAGTGTTCAAGCATCAGATATAATTTATGCACTTATTAGGCCATATGCTCAACTTTCCAGATGGGAGAAATCAAAACTTCTGTTGGGGTAGCCTTATCTTTCTCCCCCTCCCCTCCCCTAGATTTCTAAATTTCTATGTGTGGGAGGCACAATGGCCTAATGGTCTTAAGATCAAGAGACCTGGGCAGGGGTCAGGGTGAACATGAAGTTTATCTAAGAAAGAAAATTCAGAATCATAATCTCCTCCAACAGAAAGCATAGGAAATGACATCAATCACTATCACTAAAATTAATGAAGATAGGCATTATTATTGAATAATGATATTCAATATATAAATCATGGAATTGTGTATGTAGAAATCACTCCTGTAAACTTGCCAGGGACTCTCCAGATGATAAAGCCAAAAAGGGTTTGATGGGAGCTCCTGCTCAAGTATAGTTCAGTAACAAAATTCCTTGTAATTCATTTGGAATGGGCAAATAAATGATTGATTAGATAGTCCTCAATCAGTTGATCCCCCGATCAATTTATTGAAACATTCTGAATCAAGTGCATCTATAATAAAGAAGAAAACCATGGTTCATTTCAGTTTTGAGAGGCAAGTATATCAACACAAACCAGTAGCTGATGGAGGTACTCGTGGAGGTGAACCCAAATCTTTAAAAGCGTACTCTGGAGAGAGAAGAAATTTGGATTTTTCTCCTCTTCTCATTGTGCTCACACCAATATACCACCCTGGAAGCAACTCCTCTGAAAAAAACAAGGATCAAAAGTAAATCATTTATTAGTCTAATGTATGAACAGATCAGAGTAGTGAATAAACGTGCACAAACTCGCTGCACTTGTTTATTTTTTTTTTTTTTCATGTTCTTCTTATTGAATAGACCTCATGTTGCCATGTGTTTGTTCAGTAATAGATCGCAGATGATGTCAAAAATGTGGCAAGAACACAAAAGTGCCACACAACCTGTTAGACAAGTGTGTCACTGATGTTCTTACCACATGATGTCTTCTGTGATCTGGCAACATAGTATCTACAGTCAAACCTGTATATAATGGGCACCCTTGGAAAATGGCCAGGTGACCGTTATATACAGGGTGACCACTGTACACAGGTTTCCTTTAAACTCCCCTGGAAGTCAATAAATAGCATTTTTATGAGCAAATTATCATTCAAGTTACGTTTTGTTGACAATAACGAGTAACAGCAACGCAATAAACAATAAAAAAGGCCCATAAAATATCCGTGGTGTACTTTTAGGGAGGTGCAGTAAAAGTCTACTGAAAGCTAATAACACAACGTTTTTACGTGGAAAATCACTCAAATTTTTACATTTATTTCATCATCACATCATTTTATTGCTTAATGAAATCTACATTTTACAGTTGGTCTGGCCCGGGACAACACTTTGAAACAGATAAGTACGGTACAGTGTTGTAATCAGGGAACTATGACAGAAGTGAAAACAGAGTGGTATGCTTGTGATGTTACAGTTACAGTAACTATTGTTTGAAAGCGATGGCACTTTAATGCTATCTGCCGTGCAAGCATGTGTCGGATGTAGGCAATGACATGTATTAGTAGTTGTGTTTAGTACTAATATTTGTATTTTTGTGAGACCCCTGCCTTGGTGGCTGCTATTTAAGGAGCTGATGAATAAAGCTTGTCATTATTCGTTAATCGTAACCCAATTTCGTGACCGTTATACACAGGTAAAAGATAATGAAATTGTGGATTCAGGAAGTCTAAAGGGTGACCGTGTCCGTTATATACAGGTGACCGCTATATGTAGGTCAACATAACAGTAAATATAAGGGACGATTTTTGGGAAGTTGTTCAGTGACCGTTATACACAGGGTGACCACTATATACAGGGCCGTTATATACAGGTTTGACTGTACTTGTTTCATATAATAAAGAAACAAAAAAACTTGTTTGACATAAAATGCTCAAAACTCAAGTGGATATTAAGGTTTTTTCAACTAACCCAGTTTTCCCACATCTGGCCTGCCTCGTAATCTTGAAGAGTCAAATGGCTCATCATTAAATTCAAGATAGCCATTATAGTGATCTGTAGAATCAAATCAAACCAAAGGTGATTAAATAAAACTAAACAAATATGTCCAAAAGGACCTGTTCAGAAAAAAAATCAAATTATTTTATTTTTTGAATTTTAATGATGGAACAATTATTTAAAATTATATCTTGTAGACACAGCTAGCATAAATTTTGAAGCAGATAATTATTACACAAGACTATCACTAAGTGTAATGCAGTCATAATCCAGTCTGTGTAAAAGATTTTTTGGGACCTGGTCACCAATTTGGCTTCCCCGCAGCTGGGGCAAATTACATCATAAGTGCATGTACGCAGTCCAATGTTAGGTTCAAAGGAAGTGCGTATGATTTCTGGAAAGTTACAGTCTGGTGCTGTGATTTTGACCTGCTCGTCTTCAATAAGTACTTGAGCCTGTGCCATCAGGAATGAATGTTTTGTAGCTTGGCAACTGCAACTGGCCAGGATTTGTGTAACAAGTTTTCCGAGTTGTGTAAGTTTTTTAAAATAAATTGTTTGAGAGTTGTGTAGCTCCAATTTGTTGCCAGAAAATAAACTTTTCGAGTTGTTTCGCTCGAAAAAAGGCCGTGATTTGAGGTTAGAATGGTTTACATATTACTAATTTAACCTTTTTCATTTGTGAAAACAAGATGTAAATTCAAGCAAAAATGTAAATTTAAGCAAATTCAAACACAAGGTAAATATTTGTCAATGTGCTGTCTGGCAGGCTCAGCTGGTCAAAACTTTGTTTTCTAAAGAAATATTTATTGCAAGTTTATGCGGGCGATTGTGTAGTTCCAGACAAGATCCATACCTCCCCCACCAAAAGGAATTTTTCTAACACCTCCCCACCCCTCTGGAAATTCCAGTTAAGCTTCATACATTTCTTTAAATTTTTTGGTCTTCCAGAACCCCCACTCCCCAGGAAATTCCAATCCCTTCTGTGCAGGGAGTATAGATATTTTCTGGAACTGCACATTTGAAAATGAAGTTTGAGTTTTGCAAACAGTTTTTAAAAAAATTCCTTTCCTAGCAAATATTTTGTCCAGTACAAGTTAATAGAGTACTTTATTGAAAAGACTGCGGGTTGCTACTGCAGGCTACAATTTAATCATCACTAGTTAAACTTCATCTGTAGATCGTTATCTGTCATTTGATCAAAGTTTGTTTTACATAGAATGCCACCAAAGCACATACAGTTTTGAGACCCACTTTGGATTGCAGGTTACATAAGCAAGATAGAACACAAGGTAACAGTCAGAATGAGAAGCAATCCAATTTGTGATTGTGTAACTGATCTTCTTATGTTAGGAATATTTAAAAAATTTTTCAAAATCCACAAATTACAGTATTGTGGATCTTTTACTAGCAACTTTGATTGTCATGCCTAGCCAGCATTTATAAAAAATTTTGTAACTTATTTTTATGCAGGTTCTCAAATTCTTCTGCAGCAGGTCTGTTGGGAAAGGAAAACCGTCAAACTAGATTGGATAGTCAAGCTTCAAAACAACAAGACCACTGAGTATAAATACCAAAGAAGCCTCTGTATAGTCATTTCTATGATTAACAACTATGCTTTCACCTACATCAGGATAGCAAGCACTTGTGGAGCTCATGGGGGGGGGGGNGGGTCAAGCATGATCCATACCACGTGAGCAACAGAGAATCAGCAATTAAACAGCATGCTGTGTCCACGGATCACAACTCCCACCCGAGGGACGCCCAGATCCTCGAACATGGTGTTGCCAACAGCCACAAGAGGCTTTTCTTGAAGTCATGGCACTCAACTTTTGACAGCATCACCACTAATGAGAGGAAACCATTCCCTTGCGCATACTTACCATTGATTTAAAAAAATCAGTAAAAAACAACAGCAAGTGGGGTTGTAGCGCGAGCAATAACCAACTTTGATATTTCAACTCTGATGAAGGTGGACAGAAGCCACCAAAAATTCAGAAAAGAAAAGAAACAGATGGGATTACAAAAAATCTTAGAGAATGTCTATCACCAATCGCAACACTGGAAGCAGTATTTTCAGCCTCTGTATAGTGTTTATGTTATTTAAGTTCTTTTTGTTCAGCAGTCTAGGTTAACTTGGAACTGGACTATTGTACATACATCTAACAGTAGCTCCTTGAGGTACAACAGGTCCTGTTCCTTGTCGAACTATTTGCTTGAGAACTCCTCTGTCTCCTGTTAAATCCTCCATCCTACGAGCCAGCCGCCTGAAAGGTGTCTACAGGTAGAAAAAGAATATTTCAACTTAACTGGGGAAGAGCTGAAACTTGCTTTCACTCTTCCCCATACTATACTATCTACAAACACAAATTATTTAAAATTGGATACAGTTCACGAGCATTATTTAGGTACTTTTTGTAGCAAAGGATCAGAAACAACTCTTTCACTGTCCCGACTCAAATCTATTTTGGAAAAGGTTTGAAAAATACTACTTTACACTAACAAAATAACTTAAAGCTCTCAGCCTGCAAGATATTATAATGTGTATTACAACATCGTCTTGCCCCTTACTTCACTATTTAATATTAATAATAGTAATGTACATACTTGGGATTACAGGAGGAAGAAAGCACACCAATAAATAGAAAATATTGACCAATAATTATCTGCTCTAATTTTTTTTTTGGCATATTTAATTATGATTATATTTTCAACTGTCTGCAATTTTAATTAATTCACCATTGCCTTTAAAGTGCGACTACTCTAACCAGGGGCACCCGACAAAATGTTCTACCAATTTAACGAATAAAAATTGTGGAGGTTAACAATAGTTTTCCAACAAATTATCCAAAATGACCACAAATCTGTTGCTTTTGTGATGTACATCTTGATTTATTTGATAATTTGTTAGAAAGCCATTGTTGACCTCTACAAGTTTTATTTGTTAAATTTGTGGAAAATTTTGTTGGGTGGCCTTGGTTGGAGTAGTCGCACTGTAAATAAGTACTGCAATTTAAAATTATACCTACAAATGTATAATTATTGATTAGGACTATGATTATACATAGATCTATAACATCAATTGCTAACAACAACAATTGCGTGGCTGTTACTCTGCTACAAAGACAGTTCAGTGACAGTCCTACCACATCGTCATCTCTATCTGATCCAGAGTCATCTCCAAAGTCATTACACTCATAATTTAGCTGCTGGAAGACATCCTCAGAATCAAAATATTGTGATCCTTCTTCATCTTCAAAAGCGGCTTGGAAAAAAAAGAGAAACAAGCACAATTACTTGAGGTCAATCATGAAACACAGAATGTCATTAATAACTACTTATCACCCGAAAGTGAGGTCTTTACGGGGAAATCTCAAACCGAGACCTTGCCGTATTGACCAAGCGAAAGCGAGGTCAATACAGCAAGGCCGAGGTTTGAGATTTTCCTGGAAAGACCGATCGTTCGAGGTTAATAAGTTGTTTATTATGGCTTTTTGCTTTGTTTTTGCAGGCCTGTAATCACAGTGTGGGTATTATGGGAGAATAATGCCCAAGAATTAGCCAATCAGAGCTACAAATACAAGCCATATAATAGTAACTCCTAACCCATCCATTTTAGCTCCACGCACCCCATTGACAAGATTTCCTAAAAGGGATACAAGAGTAATTTCTACGGTGCTACTCTCACAGCATATGGGATAGGAAAAATCTTGAAGAGGTAAAAAAATTGCATTATTTCTGGCGGCATTAAGTCAGCTCTTTTTCCCCTCAGGCTGTAAATTTTGACTTACCGTACTAACAGGGAGAAGGGTGTGGATATAAAATGGAAAGGCCCATAAACTACCTTTTACTTTTCGACCTTGTCAGGTCAACCGACCTCAACAAGAGCAATTGGCCCGCAGAGTGCATGTGCTAATTTATCAATTTTACTTTATTAAAAAGCAGCTAACAAACTACATACCCATGCTATCAAGATCCGTCTCAAACATGGTACCGTCTCCTTGTACCAAGTCATTGATATCAATGCCCTGACGCAAAGGTACGGTGTATCTATTGGGAACCTGTGGGCACGCAACAGACAAACAAATGAGGTCACACAACACGCGCTTTTTAGCTTTTGAAACGGCTGGTGTTTTAAGCCAGGAGTGTTTTCTATTAACTCGTTGTTAACTTAACAACATACATATCCTTCTCTTCCAGACAGGGCGAGATCCTCCAACCTGTCGATAACTTCTGGAGCATCCATCTCCTCGTGTTCTTCTTCTCGGCTTTCTGCCATTTGCACGCTTGTGACAAAATGGTGCGGAGCAGGAGGAGGGAAGCCTGGGACTTTGTTATTATCTGTGCGGCCTCACGGAGAAATCTAAATAACATCTAGTGAGGGTCAACTTCATGTATCAGCACAAAGTATATTATCCGACCAATACACCCCTAACCAGCACTATACATCCTCATACAGTACTATACACCGCTATACAGTACTATACGCTCCTATATAGCCCTATACAACCCTACACAGCACTATACACCCCTATACAGCACT